TTATGCGGAGAGTCTGTTTTGGCATATCGGCTTGCAAAGCCACCACAGTGCTGGCAACCACCTTGTGGACCAGCCCCGCCCACTAAGCACCGCCCGCGCCAGCAACGACGCACAGTCGAAGCCTTTTGCTTTAGCCATTGCTGCATTGGCGGCTCATCTTTGGTCGTTGTCAATGTTGTCTTCGATGTCTTCGTTTGCAATCAATGAAAGATTTATGACAACAAATATAGACACACACACACACATACACACACACACAGACACACACATTGGCTGCTGCTGCTTCTTCTTCTTCTTTTTATGTCACATCATTATTTTTATTATGACGCTGCCGGCGGCGTCGGCCCGTTATTCGAGAGTGATTAGTGACTAAAAATGACAACAATAATAATTGCATTGGATATGCGTGCGTGTGTGTGAGTGTGCGAGTGTGTGTGTGTGTGTGTGTGTGTGTCGACCACATGAATGATGTCCCATCCATGTTATTCGATATGATTCACAAATAAGTACAAATATTTGCTATCGTAGAGCGCTTCGCAGCTGAAAGCAGCTTTCCAGGAAAAACTGATTGGTTTATGCCGCATGCCGTCGCTAGATGGCGCCAAAATGTCCGCCAGCAATGGCAACGGAAGCCAACAGCGCATTTAAAGGCGCTTCGTTAAGCGCGCGGCACAATTTTCTACTAACTTCACTGAATCCATGCACAAATTTGAATTGAATGTAAAAGTGGAGAAAAAATTAAGCAAATCGAAATATTAACTCCAGGTACATTATGGAGTAGTTCGACTTTATGGGATTGGGTGTAGCAGCGAGCCAAAGAATCAGGGAATAAATTATGAACGAGTGTAGCAGAGGATATAATAATTCTGAATTTATATATCTTCAACTTCTTTCTAAGTTTTGTTTCTTCTCGAGCAGCGCCTTCCTCTGTGCACTAAAATCCAAAAGAGTTTGCACTTCCAATGAATTGAAATCAGTAAATTATATATTATATATATATTCCTGTGAATATGTACTTTTTCTTAAATAAAATAATAGTAAAATTAATTATTTCCTACACATTCTTCCATGCAGCACTACTATTTCTATGAACAACGGATGTCCATTGCAACTCTTTGGAAAATTGTTCAAAACAAATGAATCCTGACCGAAAGTAACGGCATTTTTTTGTAATTCTATTCATTGCATTCCATGCTGAACTAAAAGAGGGCATATTTTTATGTTTGAACAGGAAAAATGGCTTTCCACTTGGCTTATGCGTTGTGAAGAGCAGCACTACTATTTTTATGAACGCAACTGGATATACCGAACAGGAGCCGTAGGAAAATAAATTGAAGAAAAAACATTTGAATTTTGAGCATAATGCACATAATGGATGAATTTCGGTTGACTCGCTTCAATATGTTGCTCGATTCGGCTGACCGACGTCGAATCGAAATTTTTTTATTTCCTTTTTGGCCTCAAGTTTAGTTCAGTTTTCATGCAGAAATTCGGCTTATGGCTACGAATCGGTTCGGTTCGTTTTGGTTCGGAGAAGCTACTTGGCTTTTGGAAAAATTTGTAAGTTAGTTGTGTTCAACTTGGACATGCAACAGCAGTTGTTGTGCGCTGTGTGTGTGTGTGTGTGTGTATTGTCTCTATTATCTTCTGTCTGTTGTCTGCTAGCTGCTGTTTTGCTGTCTGTTGCTGCTGCTAGCTCACATTTTGACACTAACTGCATTTTGTAGACTTTTAGCCACGCCTCCAACAAACAGCGCTGCCGCCCAACTGTCCTGGCTTGCGCTGCCCTGCCCGTTCGTCCCATTTGCAAGCTGTAAGTGAAATCTTTCAGTGCGTGTAAAATGCCGTTGCTCGGTTTTTGGGTGCCACGCCCACATACTTGCAACAACAACAACAACAACAAGAAGAAGCAACGAGTTGGACAACAATGAAATGCTTTTAGCATCGAGCTGCGAGCTGCGCCAAGCGAAATTAAGTTAACAACACAGAGCGAGAGAGAGAGAGAGAGAGAGAAAGAGCGGGAGAGAGAGAGAGCGAGGGCGAGAAAAAAGTTTTGTTCACTGTTTTTATTGAAAATTGAGTTAAAAAACAGAAAGTGTCGACGTCGACGAGTCGTTTGCTGCGTGTTGTATTTTATTTCAACATGCTGCTGCTTCTTCCAATTGTTACACACACACACACATACACACATGCCAACATGCACTCACATAAATTGTTATTCATAGTTTACTTTTGGCCTAAGCCCGAATCAAAAGTCTTATAAAAAACATTTTTTTTTCAAGCGAATTCTAAAAATCGCAAAGCTGGCAACATTTTTTTTTTTTGAGCTGCACTCAGACTTTTCATATATAGCCATATTTTTTTCAAGTGTAAGAAAAAATCTCCAACAGAATTCTTCAAACAAGAAAGAAATAGAGTGGAGCACAGAGAGGCCTCAAGCTAAGCTTTATTTGCTCTTTTTAAGTGTATTCACAAATACTGAAAAATAACAGTTTAATATTCAATAAATGAGTCTTATTTTTTTTTTGAGTGTATTCAAAAGTAGCCATATTTTCCCTATGCAATCTGTTTGAATGGGAATTCGATCTGTCAACTGTTTCTGTTTTTTGCTCGCTTGGCTATGCCAAATCTAATTAAAAATGGTTTCTCACATCAATTATTTATTCGAGTATCTTTCATATATATTTTTTGAATATTTTGTAATTGTAAATTCGGACTCGAAAAGTGATACATAAACAAAAATAAATTTATTGAAATTTAGTTTACGTTGTCATATTTTGATAGCAAACTTTGCTCTATGAACTTCCAAACTAGACTTGCTCTCTGATGATAGAGTCAACAGAGTCGAGTAGAGATATGTGGAAAACCTGTTGACTTTGTGGATCTGGGTTTGCATTAACTAGCTTTTTTTATGTATATGCAGTATATTATTATTATACTAAAGCTCTCTTATAGAAGCAGTAAAAGTTCAATTGTCTTAAGTTTCATGTTAACGCTTTGTATATTGTATAATTAAATGAATGGGAGTCAAAAGATTTGCTCGATTTGTTGAAGGCCCAGCCGCAAGTTAGCCAGACAAAGTTGCTCGTAGGTGCTCGAAGGAATCTCAATAAAAGTTGTCGACAGGGCAATAACATCAGCGCACACGGAGAGTGGGAGAGCGAGAGGGGAAGGCAGGGGAGACGCTCTTTAGTGCTGCCAAATCAGCGCAGAGATCAGACAGAGCTAGCTGCTACATATGTGTCTGTGTGTGAGCATAAAATTTATAAATTATTGAATCTATGAAAATATGAACATCACGTACGCGACGACGCGCGCTTTAGCTGCTTACTTTTTTCGCTCTTGTCAGGACGAACTATTCAGCAGCAGAGCTACAGATACATCTGCAGGCCAGGGATACACAGATACAGATACAGGCAAGACAATCGCACAAAATGAACTTACAGTTATGCACAAAAAGCAAAGTGTGTGTGTGTGTGTGTGTGCGTGTGTGCGTACGTCAGAATATGCACAGAATTTCATTACGCTGCCTGCGTTCGTCGTTCGTTTTTATAAATAAATAAGTTGGCTTCGCTGCCAACCAAGCAGCCAACCAGCGAGCCAGCCAGCTAGCTAGCTAGCTAGCCTGCCAGCCTGTTTATTTGTTTGTTCGTTTGTTTGTTGTTTGTTAAAGTTTGTTCATCTGTTTCGTCGCGTTCGACGTGCTCAACATTATTGGCGGCTTCGCTGGTTACAGCAAGCTTCGATTTGAGGTATGAGGGTTGTAATACACCCCCCCCCCCCCACACACACACACACCAGCGGGGCCAACCGCCCCGCGCAAGCTCCCACCCTATCTATCTAGCTGCCTCACCCATCTTAACCATAGTTTGAAAAGGCGTCTGCCAGCAATAACGGTGCCAACTAGAAAACTTTTCTAATAATTCGTTTGATGAATTTCTTTTCCACGACACCAAAAAAAAAAAAAAAAAACAAAAAATGGGCGAGCGAGCAGAAGAAAAGTCAGCAGTAAGCCAAATGGGCAAAAAAGAAGAAGATGAAAGCTGGATATATTCATGGCCTGGTCGCAGTTGGCGCAGCTCTTCAAGCAGCCAGACCGACCTGAACTATGATGGCAATGCTTTTAGAGAGCTCTTAGCATATAAACAATAAACCAGCTGTCGACCAGCTCTCAAAATATGTCTCAGCATTTGTCTGCTATTGATGGAAGCTCACTCCCACTTCCGACTAACTAATATGCAGATGAGTGCTGCGTGTAAGGTAATGCGTGATCTACTTTGAATTACTTTCAATGCATTCCTCAAGCATATTGAATCGCGCTTGTTGGCTGACTGACACACACACACTCGCTTATCCTTAATCAACACTGGGCCTGATCATACTCACACTAGATGGCGCCACTCTCAGGATGAGAGGAACTTTATAAATTTCTAGTCCACGAGGCACTAACTTATTTATTAGTACAGCTATTGATCAGTGCATATATTGTATATCAATATGTATGTATTATATATATATCGTAAGTCCTATATCGTAAGTCCTATATCGTAAGTCCTATATCGTAAGTCCTATATCGTAAGTCCTATATCGTAAGTCCTATGTCGTAAGTCCTATATCGTAAGTCCTATATCGTAAGTCCTATATCGTAAGTCCTATATCGTAAGTCCTATATCGTAAGTCCTATATCGTAAGTCCTATATCGTAAGTCCTATATCGTAAGTCCTATATCGTAAGTCCTATATCGTAAGTCCTATATCGTAAGTCCTATATCGTAAGTCCTATATCGTAAGTCCTATATCGTAAGTCCTATATCGTAAGTCCTATATCGTAAGTCCTATATCGTAAGTCCTATATCGTAAGTCCTATATCGTAAGTCCTATATCGTAAGTCCTATATCGTAAGTCCTATATCTAGTCTTCAGCTCACTGAACATGTTCAGGCAAAGGCAAAACGGATAGCTCCCAAACGATCAACGAATAAAGAATACATTTATATGCATAGTGTGTTCTCCATCAGAAGTAGCAATTTATTAAAATTTGTGTAATAACAAGATTTACTCCATTTTGGTAAAATGGACGCCAGCTTCGCGTCCCTCGTTTCAACTGAAAGGGCGTGGTACCGTCCTGTAAACGAAAGAACTTTGATGATATCGATTAAGAGGATAGAGTTAGCGGAGTTGGGATGAGGCGAAAACTTCGTCAAGACTCACACAAGACCTCAAAATAAAATTGTGTTAATGGCACACCTGAATCCAACCCGGCTTTGCGTTTTTTTTTGTTTAATACGAACTATAATTAAAATTGCTGTGCACCGGCTAAAGAAACTTGAGTTTCATTTGTATTTATTTGATTTTTTTGTCTTTTCATGTGTGTTTAACTGAGAATCGGCTGCTGTGCATTGTAAATTCAATTGGATCTCTCTTTGTAGATATTTCATACACGACGCCAACTGCAACGCCCTGCAAATAGCGTGGTACCGTCCTGCAGCAAGAGTCTTAGTATACATGTATATATATATGCATCTTTCGGGTATAGGAATACATTTGTACTTACGGATGGAAGAGCTCTCTAGAAATTGAAAACCAATCGAATATATAAAGCCTGTTTTGTATCTGTGTTAGCCTCAATCTGTGTAAAATCTAATTAAAATCGTCTGCGTTCGGAAGCGATTGATGAAATTTGCATATCAGTAGTAGCTTCTACACTGTTCTATGAATTATATAAAATTAATAAAAATTATATAAATTATATAATCATATAATTTTCATTCATACTCACAAATTTATGGGTTTGTATGTGCAATCTATATGGAGTGGCAATCGCGTTGTAATGATGATTGATGAGAGTTCATAAATATGCTGAATATATATAAATATATATAAAATTTTGTGTCTGATTGTGTGCGTAATTGTTTTGCATCTGTCTAATTGTATTTTTGTGCAATTGTATTTGCGTAATTGTATTTAAATTTGTATATTGTTTTTGAATTTTGGTATTGTTTTGAATTTTGTTATTGTGAATGTAGTGTTTGTTTTATTCCGTTGCGTTTTTGTTCGTGGTTTACGTTGACATCCACCAGATACGCCAGAGAATGTGCGCCCCAGACTCAGAAGGCCTTGATTACATCGTTGTTAATCATTGTAATGAGTCTGTGTGTGTTGTGTTTATATTTGATCTCAACTAGAAGAAAAACTTGTTGAAATAAGGCTCCATTGCACCTGGGCAACAACCCGCTTCTCTCACCTGGTAAGCGTGACCTAAGAAGTCGGTTCTTGTTGCTGTTGATACGTATGTATATATGTATATATATATAGAGTTGACCGCAGGACCTAAAAGAAAGACAGACAGACGTCTTCAATCAGGATTCTCGCAGCCTTCAATTCCACCTACTTGTAGAAATGTTTACATGATGATATTCGATATAAATAGAAACTATTAACGAATTTTCCAATTAGCCATTTCGTGTGGCATCCTCTACTTAACAGCGAAGCATCGTCTGCAACTTAAATTTATATTTGACTTCAGCTCACGGCACCAAAAGAGAAAACCAAAATTAAAATAAAAAGATATTCGAAAACATTAAAAATTCCAAAAATAAATTTAAACTAAAATTTAGAAATTTAGACAGTACGCTCGAATTGAGCTGTGAGTACTGACTGACGATATTTGGCTAGCTGGTTTGGGTCTACGGCCGAAACAACGCCGATGCCTACTTGGATCAACAAAAACTTTGAGCATTGGCAAGGCCGACTCGCATGAGAATAGAATTTGACTAAATTCTCGAATGGAAATTGTGTTGAGTTGTTTATGTGTCCTTTAGCTGATTAACGAGAAGTATAATAAATATATTTGAATTATGCGCATTACTTGAGCACACAGAGAGAGAGTGGGAGAGAGAGAGAGAGAGAGTGAGATGAGAAATCCAACTGTAGCCAAGGCAAATATGTTTGCATTTGGTCTTAGCCTCCCTCAGCCAGCTCCATCACGCCGTGTACCACAGCTCGTATACGTAATCTATTTAATGCAACCAAGCAAGCGTGCGAGCTGTGTGTGTGTGTGTGCGTGTGTGTATCTGTGTGTGTGTAGCTGCTCGCTTTGGCATTATCAACTCATAAATATTTATTGAATTTTAAGAAATTTTCAAAAATTGGTTACAGAAGTAGCCAAAGGTCCGAGGCCAGACCAGAGCAGCCCAATCTCTGGCTCCCGTTCCGGCGCCGGCTTCTGCGTGGGCGGGCAGCTTCGACGACTTGGCTATCAACAGATATCCGTCATCGATTCTTCTTAGCCGCTACCCCTGCCACGCACACCCGCTGACACATCCCCTTCACTCGCCTGTCGTTCCGTTTGCATTCTCTTATTTGGATTATAATTTTTTCCATTTCACATATGAATGCGTTTGCTTGCTCTCTCTCTCGCTCTCGCTCTTTCTTTCGTCCTCGCCCTCTTCCTTTCTGTTTTTTATGCTCTGCTCCGTCCAGTTGTCAATTTCCATTTTCATTTTCATTGCAAAAAAAAGCGTCGAGCAGTGCAATCCTCGGGGCACGCGTAACTCGCAGTAGCGTTCTTTCCTAGCTGCGCAAAAGATTAAGAAAAAAAACGTTGCCAAAAGGAAAACCAGGCCAAAAATTGAAAGATGTTAAAGCAATAAAAGCTGGCAACAAGAGCTGAACAGATATTTCAAATATGTTTCTACGACATTTAAATTATATTGTTTTCTTTTCCTTCAGCTGGCTGCGTAGGATTGAGTGACTGATGGGATGATTGAGGTGACAGGCAGCAGATAAACACCTGGTAATTACACTGCCTCACTATGTGATTCTCAGCAATTGATGTAACATATTGAGGCATCGATGTATATATTGAGGCATATATGTATGTATGTGTGTATAGATTTATGAAAAGATATTCCTTTTTGTGTATGTATGATGATGTGTGATGAATATTGTATGATGAATGATGTATGATGAATGATGTATGATGAATGATATATGATGAATAATGAATGATGAATGATGTATGATGAATGATGTATGGTGAATGATATATGATGAATAATGTATGATGAATGATATATGATGAATAATGTATAATGAATAATGTATGATGAATGATGTATGCATTTCTTTATACTTCATTATACAAATGCTTATTTATATGTAAGTATTGTCTAATTTCTGTCTAGTGATGTAAGTATATATGCAAGTATAATTATATATGAATGCATAAATGACGTATGTATATTTATGTATGATTATATTCACTGTTTAATACCTTTGAGGTGAAAAAGACGTCTAAGAATCAGAGTTTATTCTCACATTGACATCATTGATGTACAGATTGATGAATTGTTGTTTATATGCTTATTTAAGTTCTGAGGTAAGATTGAAAATGTCAACAACAAAGTTCTTTCTCAGTTCAGCCTTATTTACTGCTCTTCTATGCGATTCTCATCATTTCTAATATTATAATATTTAAATTATTTGTTTTTCATTACTAACCAACACGAAAATGTATTTCTACAATTACTTTTACAGCTCTATGAACATCTACTAGCAACTCCCCTCCACTTTCCCGCCGCCTTGGGAGCTTCCTCATTCATTATTACATTTTCAATGCCATCAATCCGTAGTGCTGATGTTTATCGATTTGAATACACAAATATAGTGTACTTAGCTAATTAATAGACAAGCCGACAAAGGGGCAATTAGTTGGGCTAACGGTGTTAGCACATATGGATTTTTGAGCCCGTGCCATGCCATTCCGTTTCGTTTCTTTGCGCTGAGCCATGCAGCAGCTTCTGTGGCATATGCAATTGAATACTTTGGTGTTGCGTTTGTAATTATGAAATGAACTTTGACCTGGTGCGCGACCAATCGCTGGCTCTCTGCCATTTTAATCGCATTAAAATGCACGTACTACGCCCCGTGCGGTGCGAAAGGGGCCACGCCCACTGCCCACAATATGCAAAATTAACTTGTTGATGTGACGAAACAAATGGGAATGCGGCAGGGCATCGGGCAATGGGGAACACCCATTTGATGGCAGTTTGAAAATCGTTACGTGTTCGAATCTTATTAGTGGTTTATAATTACAATTGTATACAGGCCAATTATGTTACGAGACAAAGCGAGACTCTCACACAGGTATGTGTGCGGCCGGACGGGCGGGTGTGTGGGTGAGTGTGGGTGAGTGTGGGTGAGTGTGGGTCTGGTTAATTAACCAACGCCAGAGCTAACCGTTGAGTGTGCCTGTGTGTGTGTGTGTGTGTGTGTGTGTATTTGAGTGTTCCGATAATGATGTTCATTTCAAAAGCAAATCTCATAATACACACACACACACACAGACACACTTATGCAGCTAGAGAATTGTCTTTATGTAAATGGAAGCAGCAATTTATGCATATGTATTTGTTGCATAACTTAGCGCTCAGATAACACACACACACACACACACACGCACACACACGCGCACACACGCGCACACACAAACTTGGCATTGCCTTCACACCGCCAATTTGCGTATTGTGCAACGCTGCATGGGTGGCTCACCAGCACCACTGGACTATTACTATTTCAAAGTGTATTTGGTAATTGAATCCACGTCTGCAATCCGTGGTCTGTGGTCGATAATTTCATTTTAAGCCACATTTCGAATACAAATTAGAGCCGCTCGAACTTGTCAAGCGGCAGCGTCTGTGATGCGAACAACTCCGTCTGCCCGAGCCTAAGACAAAAACCCCTTTCAGCCAGTGAACTCGTGTTTGCGCATTGGCAGACGCAGCAATTGCAATTATTTCGGACAATTGATGCGGATCTCTAAGGCATATCTCATATCTTGCGTGGCGCTTGCCCAATCTCAGATATGGCTACCCTTCAGCTTATCTGACTCTATTCAATATATGTTTTGTAATATTAGAAAACATAATATATATTGCCGTTTAGTATCTGCACACATATCTACACTGGAAGATATCCAAGTCTTATCGCTATTAAACGACTTTATCAGTCGCGTAGAATTTTCTGGCTAACTATTTTAATTGTTAATAGACAATAGTTTTCTTTTAAGCTAGTGTTATCTTATCTTTTATTTGAGCACAGATTTCTAAGCATTCCTTACAATTTAGATTAGCTTCATTATCTAATCCATCAACGTTGTGGATCTAGATTAGATAGGGTCGCATAGCTTAGGATCCGTGTTTGCCACTTAACAGACTCGTGCTAACAGTACTCGACAGTCACCACTCTTATAACTGTTCTATGAGCTGCTATAAAACACCCTGCCAAACGCTCCACTGTTAAGCACTGCGCCGACGTCAACTTCAAAGAGCGAATCCTAAATGTAACAGAGTCAAAAGAGCGAAACGCTGTTAAGGCGAATGTTATGGACATTTCTGTTGAGACGAGGCTGGTCAAATGCCAAGTGATGTGATTGACGGCAAAGAGAGTCGCAGGCTCTTATACGCCTGGTGTGTGTCCTGGCTAAGTGGGTGGCAGTTGGACGAGCATGTGCCTTGCCCGTAAGGGTTGTTTAGCTCGAGGGTGACAAGTAGTTTCAATGGCTACGGAGAAGTAATAAACATATTTCTAACCAACTGTAAGCGGCGCCTTTTATAGCAGTCGCCAAACTGTTATACATATAACAGCTGTTCTACTCGCAGCTGTCCGACAGCTGGAGAGCGCCAAGAGAGCCAAACTCTCTTTGCGCTGTGGCTCTCTCGCTTACAGCTAACATCCACTGTTAAGTTAACGGCGCGCCCTGTTAGCTTGCCATTACATAACTGTTATACCAGTTAGCAAGCACTTGCCAGCAACATTTTTCGGGAGTGCGCGGCACATGCCACACTGTAGCACTGAGGCAGTCAGCCCAACAAACAAAGAAATGCTGCGAATTTTGATTGCAACAAGAATAACATTGTCATAAATCGATTCACACAGACACAGCTGAAGATTGGCAATTGACAAGCTGCTCGTACGTCTCATTGTTGGCTCCAAGCACATGCATTGCAATTTATTTCAAGTGTATTTAAAACTTGTTGAATATCAGGCATGCCATACTTATGTGCCTCTAATGCCACCCGAAATTTTATAAAGAAATTCAATAGAATCTAGACAGATTTATACTTTTAGAATTTATACGTTTAGAAATGTTATCAAATGTTATATATAAGAAAATATAAATAAATATATAAATATATATATAATATATATAAATAAATAAATATAAATAAAAAAATATAAATAAATAAATATGTACAGAATTGCTGATTTAAATGGCCTTGCCAAGCCAAACTCATTATAAAAACTCTTTATCACAAATTAAGAATACGTACATCAATATATCAATAACTTTCACAACTAAAATGAAAGAGAGAGAGGAAAAAGAACATATCAATTTTTTTTGTAAATTATTAAACAAATTTTCTGTTTGCTTTAGCTCATTCAACAGACTGAAAATTTGTAAAATATATATGCTGTTTAGCTATAGTACTTTCATTCATAATAAATCAATGAAATATATTTTTAAAATTTATAAAATTAAATTTATTGCGTTGACCACTTTATGACATTATTATTTTAATACAATTGCGATTGTAAACATCATTTGCTTATTTCTGAAAACATATAAGCCAATGACTCCATAAGGCGCATTT